AAAAAAAAAAAAAGATTTAACAGATACATATAAGACAGTGCTCGAAACAATAAAGCAAACTACTAAGTTTTATTTTGAGAGAACAATATTTGTATAGAAGAGAAAGAAGGGTACAGAAAAAACTTTTCTTGCACTACATGGATGACTATTAAGTATTAAACCATGGGTTTTTCATACAAAAAAATCTGCCGATTATAAAAATCCGTACGCAATTTCAGGTTCATCGCTCGTGTTTAACCTTAGTTTCAAATCACATAGGGGAAAAGAAAATTATGAAATTCAAAACACATAGATACACAAAACAGCTATAAAATAACGGTCCAGTTAACTTACCAGCTGTATATCCTGTAAGGAGACCTTTCGAACATCTCCGTTAGACATATTCGCAAGTTCCTCAACAATATGAACATGAATTTTGCAGGTCAAATTATATCATATCACAACAGCTGAAGAGCATAAAACTTCAAATCAACTTGCTTTCTGCCAATCCATATACTCGGCTCTTCAGCCTGAAATTATTGTTCATCGATCGAATCAGGCAATTAGCCATAACAGAGCCACGAATCATTCTCGAAAATCAGAACTCTTCAATCCTAAAATCTATCTGTCTCATTTCCCACAAAATACACAATATTTTTACCCTCATTCCCTCTCCTTTATAGCTTATACCCATATTCCACTGCTTTTCCCTTAAGCCCACATAAAATTTTATGAAACTCTCCAAAATTGGAAGTTCTCCATAAGCTTCCCTAACTCCTAAGCAAAACTAAAACACGTAACATGCATTTCTGCTAATGTCATGCTATAACTAACGGGAGATGCTACGGTCCCGTTACGAAACCATCCCGTCGGGGTTTCTAACCGTTAGATCAACTATTCCCGACGGTTACATGATGATCTAACGGTTACAGACCCCGAGGGAATGGTGTAACGGGACCATAGCATTTCCCATAACTAAAACAATACCAATTTAAGTATGGCATAGACATGTCCTCATGTCCCCTTTGACTCTACTGTTTCGATTATTCGAACCCATAAATGACAGATTAAATGGAGAAACAAACAAAGATAAAAAAACCCATAAAAATTCAATCTTTGGCCAGGATCGTCAAGATTCAGGACAACCCTTCAGTTCCTAACCCTAGCAACAATCACACCATAAAAAAACACAAACCCACAAAAAAACTTATCAGAATTATACAATCAGAACAAACAAAAATTGCATTGCGAACAGAAGGGATCACAAACAGAATCAAGAAAAACACCACTGATGTATAAAAGAGTTAATTAATGGAGCAAAATTAATAAACAGGAAAAAATAAATAAATAAATAAATTACATCTCTCCACACCTGAAAAATTCAAGCTTTTTTAACTGGGCTTCTTCTTTGTTGCTTGATTATACAGAGAAAATCATTCTCTCTCTCTCTTTTGTCCTGGGGAGAGACAACAAATGATGGGGGCTCTGCTAAAATTTTGACGTTGTTTTAATTCCAGGGAAATATTCTCAAATACATGCTATGGTACAACTTCCGATGCGTGAGGCACAATACAATTATTGAAAGCCGGCTCTGGTACTTATAGAAAAGTCTTGGCATTATCCAATAACTGAAATTTAATAATGCCAGGCCGATTTTTCTATTGTCCAGTGGGCGTACAAGTTTTTATTGGATAGGTACAAGTTTTCTTTTGGCCCGCCACTTTTTTTGAGCCATCATATATGGCTGCGGTCAATCTGAAATAATTTTTCCTATTTTTTTCCTACTTTTTTTTTTTTTTAAATAGTAGTGTTACATGTTCATGAATAACAACTTTTTTAAAATAATTGTGTGATATAAAGATAATAAAAGTAATGTATATGTTTCAACAATTGTTATTTTAAAAGTGGTGTAATACGTAAAGTAACAAGATCGTGACACGTGTTATTATGTCAAACTTTATGTCATCAATTACGTTATTATAGTGCGATTGATATGTTTATCAACCCCCAACTATTTAATTATTTCAACTATGAATGAAACGCGTCGAATGTAAATTCAGTTCGACTTGGCTCGTTAAGGCTACAGCTCTCAAATGATACGAGTTGACTCGGCTTGTTAATGCTTGGATATATGAATATTCAATTAATTTTCTACTACTTCAACTGTTAAGGCTCGAGCCCAATTTGACAATAATCAAACTGACTCGTATATATCAATAAACAAGTAGATTTCGAGCTCATTTAGTCGAGTTGAGCTCAAGTATTAAGAACTCGTATTCGATTCGTTTCGACCACTAATTAAAAATAAATTATTCTTGTTTGAACCTGTTTTATGTTTTAAAACATATGATTTCCAAAAAAAAAAAAAATATATATATATATATTGTTAGTACAAGTAATTTACTTTATTAATAAATCAATTTGATTGCAAAAGTTTCTTTAATCCACTAGTAAGATTCTGTTAGCTTAAACTGGGTAATCAAAATTTATGATTATTTAAATAGTAGACTATCCATATTTTCTCTTTCTTTTCAGCTTCATGTTTATCCACAAACATATATTCTTATGAGTCAATTTAACCGTTAGGTAAGTCGACTCGACACTGTTATAGACTTATAATCTAAATATATATTTATGTTATGGCTTATGGGGGTGTCTTTTGCATTTTTTTATTTTTTTTTTTTCATTATGCTATTTGTGTAAAATCAAGATTAATGTAATGGGAAACAATATAATGAAAAACAGAATAAAATACAAAATGGAAACAAAAAAAATCACAATTCATGATTTTTTGGTGGGAGAATATTTTAATAATCTAATATACAATTATATTGCCCCAATTTTGAATATAATAATGTCACTTGAGATGCTTTAAAGAATCAAATTTGTTGATGGGATTCATTCATTTCATGACATGTCTTTGTCATAAATAGCCAATACTCGAAAAAAGCAAAATATTGCAAAATCCCCTCACGAAAGAAAGTAATGCTTTCTATTTATTTATTTATTTATTTATTTATATATTGACTTGAAATGCCACCTAATTATTTATTTTTTATATTATATTCTTTATTTCACCGCACTTTGACTTCAATAGATGAGTGAGAGGTTTAACCCAAAGCAATATGAAAGGCAAATCATATCTTTTTAAGTGTCTAATTTTAATGTCTTGTAATTTTAAGTGTCATAATTATGATATTTCATAATCTTGTTTGTCAATTTTTGTCTTATATAATTTTTGATTTTGGCCTTGTATATTAAGACATTTAAAATTATTGAACATTTTATGAATTTTTAATTATAAGTATATTTAAACTCAGTCGTATTTATATTTGCTATAAAATTTTCATCAATAATATATCGACTTAATCATCAATGATATTAGATTTGACATTCACGAATAAAATAGAAGTTAATAATATCAATTATAGTTAGAAAACAATAAATTTACATCCTATTAATTAAATAAATTATCTTTCAAACATTCCATGTAACACAAATTATAAAAATTGTCATAAATATAAACAAACAAGTTTTACAAATGAAGGATTTAATTATTAAATAAAACTAGTGATATTATAATAGCTCGTATATTACGCAGAAATCTTTCTCATTATCATAGCGGAACTTCCAAAAAAAAGAGTTTGTATCGAATCAAGTATATACTTCGACTTTCTTGTGCTAGAACTTTGGCTCGAAAACACAAAAGTACTGTACGTACTTTTTTGAAAAGGTTAGGCTCGAAATTATTGGAAGATTTCTTATGTCAGAAGAAGATGTTCTTTTTTTTGACAAAGCTTCTTCCAGTTTGCAGGGACTATTATATAGAAGTTGAATTTGGCATTTGGAGTGTTCAATTATTATTATAAAATAAGTCAAACATTTATAATTTGGTAAGTCAACTGAATGTTCTTTGAACTTGGGCAATTCAAACCAATATAAATAAATTTGTTCACAATGGAATATAAGATGATCAGAAACCAATTTCTCTATTTTAATAATTATAATTGTTTTCAAAATTACTCTAAATTTGTAAAATACAAAATTGGATCTAAAACTAAAATTGTGTACAAGACTTAGAGTCAACCTTGAAATGATTAAACACCTAATAATTCCCCCAAACCCACTCATTTTTTAATCACTGTACATATAAAAGAAAAAAAAAAAAGTAATAGTCTTAAATTAG